GACACATGTTTAACTAACAATTTATTTGTAAATGTTGTTATCCCTGAGCTGACTTATATTATGTTTCACACCATGTAAAGACACACTCTAATAACTGACTCTTGGGATGAAGGCATTGGGTTTTTGTTTTTTGCATTCTTAAAGGATCCTTGAATTCTGCAATGCAAATTTATTCACCCACCTCTATGGGAAAGTTCTGCACATTAATAATTTCTTTCTTTTTAAACATGATTTTTAAAAATTTTTAATTAATTAATATTTTGGCTGCTCTGGGTCATATTGCTGTGCTTGGACTTTATCTAATTGCAGCAAGGGGTACTATTCTCTGTTGTGGTAAGGAAGTTTCTCACTGTGGTAGCTTCTCTTGTGACTCATGGGCTCTAGAGCATGGGCTCAGTAGTTATGGGACACAGGTTTAGCTGCCTCAGGGTCTGTGGGATCTTCCAGACCAGGGATCGAGCCCATGTCCCCTGCACTGGCAGGTGAATTCTTAACCGCTGTACCACTAGGGAAGTCTGATAATTTCTTTCTTAGAAAGAATTCCTTGAAAGCATATGCTCACTGGATATTTTTTTCTCTCCGTAGGCTCACAGGAGCTATGTCAGGATGACTAGCACCACAGTTTTAAGAGCCAGAAGAAAATTCACTGTGGAAAAAAAAAATACACAGTGATATGAGTAGCTCATGATGAGGCTAGAAATGTAATTTTTTCCAGCCAGATTCAACAATCTTCCTGTAAATATTCCAAATCTCTGGACTACAGAAAGCCAGCTTTCAGCTCCACCTCTTGGAGCTCAGTTTCCAGGCCCCTTTCAAGGAAGTTGGACCTGGCTATACCTGCTGACATTCCTTCCCCAAGAGGGTGCCCCACAGCCCTCTCCTGAGATGACCATCTTAGCCTAGCCCAGGCTGAGTTCCCATCCCTTTGAAGAACTCTGAGGCGGAAATGATGAGTATGATGAGTGAGCAATCCGCCCTTTCTTCCACAGTTCTGCTGGCCCAGAGTTCAGATTTGTGTCAGGATTTGAGCAGACTTCTGCTTCTGGGATGTGGTGACCTGTCCTCTGGGATATGGTGACCTGTTGCATCTGAGGGGTACTAAGGGGGATGGCAGTGATACTTCTAGCTTGGAAGATGGTAGGATGATGAAACCTTTCACCTACTCAGTGATATCAAGGGGAGAAACATAATTAGGTTTTCATTTTGTCATGCCTGGGTCCCATTCATGAGTGCTGTTAAGCTGGAAGAATCAGGCACAACAACCCCCTTGTCAAGGATCTTCGGTAGGTCTAAATTTCATATTGTTACTGAGTCCACACTTGCTCTGCTCACCACACGACAGGCCAGTGAATCCGAGGGAGGAAGTGTTGAGGCAAGGAAGAGACTTAAATCAGGGAGCCAGCAGCCCGAGAAGATGAGAGGCTAGCGCCTCAAAATAAACATCTTGTCAGGGCCTAGATGCCAGGTTCTTTTATGGAACAGAGATGCACAGGAGGAAACAGAGTAAAAAGACTTTTAACTCTGCAAACTTGCAAATGTCCCCTAGAATGGCAAGCCTCGGAGGGGGAATGTGTTAGTTTTACTTCCTTAGTCAGTCCTTCAGAGGTGGGTGGGGTCAGGTTATCTCCCTGAGGTAGGCCATCACGGATGTTTATAATAACAAAAATGGGTTAAAGTCACAGAAGCAGTTTCAGTGCAAATTTAAAATTAATTCTTCCCGGTTACAATATTAGTCCTCATCTGGACATCAAGGATTACAGTCACATTAACAAAATGCCTGTGTTGAAAGCTGTTGTCCACATCATCTACAGTATAAGAGACTTGTTTGTGTTTCCCACCATAGAAAGGCAGCAGATCAAGCGGCAAGATTATGCTGGATTTGATGTCAGAAGACCTGGATTCAAGTCTGAGTACTGTTTTGAACCATTTGAGCTCTAAGGAAATTTACTGAAGCTGAGTCTGTATTTTCTCATCAGTAACAGTTTCCTACTCACATCTGGTTGTCTTTAAAGTTCTACTGGTCCTGTTTGATGGGTTCAAAGATAGATGAATTTTAGAAACTAAAGTACACAGAACTCTGAGGATAAGAATACTGGCAACAATTACCATCTACCCTGTCCAGTTCCTAAAGCCTCCATCCTGTGGAAAACTAAAGCAGGAACATTGGTGACAGCAACACTGCAGAGCTCCTAAAGGGTTCAGATTTCTACTTTCATTTCATTTCATTACTATAAATTCATCTGATGTAAAGTGTATGTCAATACTTCTATAATGAGGATGTCTCATTTTTATTATGTACACTTTCCAATAAAGACAAAAAATTTTAGAAATAGTAAACGATTTGTCCAAGACCACAAAGTTACCAAGTGATGAAGTCAAGATTCAAACTCAAGGTAGTCCATCCTGACTAACCCCTTCTACCCTATACATTGCCCAGGGAACAGAGATGAATGGATAAGATCTTAGCCTACAGCTTACAAGTAATTAATAATAGGCCAGAAGCATTCTGCCTGGGCCTTACTGAGAGGTGGAATGGTATGGAAGAGCTGTAGGGTAATCAGCATGGCTTCAAGCCAGCAGAGACTGATTTGTAAGGACCCCACCTAAGAGTTGGACATGACCGAGTGACTAAGCACATGCACACACGTATTCCCAACCCAGAAGCAGGTGTGTTTGAACTTTAACCTATGCCCTTGGGAACCCACAGGGCCAACAGTGTTGTAAACACCTGTGCATTCTTCTGTCACTCTCACATCCCTTGCCTGGTTTTAATTTGTGGAAGCAGATCAGCACTCAGAATTTCTTGGGTAAAATATACACCAGCAAGAAAATTAGCTCTTTATTCTAAAGACAGCATTAGTGCATATAGTTTAAAAATGAACAGGGTTCTTCTTCAGCAAGCTTGAATGTTCTTCCCACTAGCCACAAAATTAGACTCCCGTTCCTAGTCTCTTTACAGTGAGGTATGGTCATGTGAGTGAATTCTGGCCAGTTGAACATGGTTGGAAGTCATGTTTTCCTTGCACAAGTCTGGCCCTTGAAAACACAGCCACGTAATCCATCAGGCTTTTTCCCTTTACAACAGAGAGGAATAAACCCAAGCACCACAGAGACATTTAAAATCACATAGTTGATGTGTGAAATTAATACATGGTTATTAATAAAAATAAATAAATAAAATCACATAGTTGATCGAAAGGGCATTTTATGGAAGTGTCCCTGATTCACTGTTTGGGAGAGAACCATCCGATCAGGAATGTTTACACTGAGGTGTTAACACGGATGGAAGATAAACCTCTATTGTGTTCAAAATGCAGTTATTTTCACGTTTCTGTGTTTGAGCAGCTAATATTAATTACCTTAACAGACCAAAGTCTATAACAAAATAATGAAGAAAGTTTGCCATGAAAAGTTACATCTCAGCTTCTAGTAAGAAATGGAATATTTCCTGCCATATTAGTAAACAAGGATGTTATAGTCCTCAGCAATTGCAGCCCTACCCATGAGCTAGTGAGCCCCGAGGGAACTCCGGAAGAACACAAGCCATCTAGCAGCCCCATACTGCAGCCATTCCCTACAGTGAGCCCTGAGGAAAAGAAGATCAGGATGTGTAAACACAAGAAACTGGCCCCAGACAACTAAGGTGCATAACAAAGGAATGATTCCAGTCAGCCCAGACTCTTGCATCTTCCATACATAGAAAACTGCTATTCCTTTACTTGGCATATCTAATTTTAGTTAACGATAATCTTTTGATGTTCAGACTACCTGCCCTTTGTTGCAAAACTTCTAGGTAACCTGGGTCTTCCCCATGCCTCCTTGGGGCAGTCCTCTCAGGATGACTTAAGATGTTGTCTCCCAGGCTTGAGGTCCTAAAAATTCCCATTGAATAAAACATAACTCTCAATTTTTAGGACATGAATAGTTTTAAAGTTGACACAAGGGACAGCATATACCTTCCAAAAATACAAAAAAGATCAATGATCTATTATAATGAGGTTATATAAAGAAGCATAGGTTTAAAAAAAAAGCATAAGTTATTTACATTTCTGAAACTTTCTTTTTTGGAAACTCTACGTATTTTAAATATGCTGCTGCTGCTAAGTCACTTCAGCTGTGTCCGACTCTGTGCGACCCCATAGACGGCAGTCCACCAGGCTCCCCCGTCCCTGGAATTCTCCAGGCAAGAACACTGGAGTGGGTTGCCATTTCCTTCTCCAATGTGTAAAAGTGAAAAGTGAAAGTGAAGTCGCTCAGTTTTGTCCGACTCTTAGCGACCCCATGGACCGCAGACTACCAGGCTCCTCCATCCATGGGATTTTCCAAGCAAGAGTACTGGAGTGGGGTGCTATTGCCTTCTCTGATTTTAAATATAAAGCCTTGAATTTCAGATTTTTTAGAGCTGATACAGAAAATACAATGCAGATTGCTTGCTTGGATTTTACAAACAGTAGTATTAACATAATTGATTAGAGAATTATGAGAATCATTTTATTATTTTCTGAATTTTCTGTGAAATTTATTCAATGGGGAAAGTACACTTCACTCATCCTTTGGACAATCTCCAAAGCGAGGCAGCTATAGTCCTCCTCTTCTAAATAGCAGCTGACTCCTTGGAGACACTTTTGGGACAACTTTCCCAAGCAAGGACAAGCTAGAAGATTGTCTATTTTCATCTTCTGCTCCAGCTCCAGACTGGCTAGAGAGTAATTGAACAAGCAGGTCTTACTCCAAACTGTACTGGAGTTTTCTGAGTGGAACCGGTTTAAGATCTGGAACAAACTGAGAATCCAATGATAGAAACAGGTGGCTTGTATTTTCTAGATGTTGACATCTCCTACGTTGTAGTGAAAAAAAAAGAAAATGAAAGCAGGTCTGTTATGCTTGCGTGATTGATCTGATATCTCAAAACTTGAGGATTTCCTGCTATTCACAGCTTTGAGACCAGGAGAGGCTGAAACAAGGTATCACTAGCACCATCAGCAAATAGATTATGCCATTCAGCTCAGTGATTCAGCGGACCACGCTGAATGGCAAGCGCTGCTGCGGTTCAAGAGCGCCCAAAGCGCCTTTGGCGGCGCCCCAGCGTCCGGGAGGGGGCACCCTAACTCGCCGTAACGCACCGACAGCGAGGCCCACCCAGCTGGACCCGCCTCCAGGTTCAGCGCCGCGAACTCTAGCGCGGGATCCGCCGGGAGAACCCAGGAGTCCTCGTCGGCAGGAGCCTCGGCCCCGGGTGAGGGGCCGCCGGGGCCGAAGGAGCGCATGGAGCCGCCGGAGCTGTGAGGAAATTTCCTTTTCGGGCCCAACTGCCTAGGGCAGCTTTGCCGCGGCTTCGCTCGTAGCCTTTGATTTCTGCACCTGCTCCTGCGTTCACCTTCCCCTTCCTGGGAGGAGATTTTAGACAGAGGGGTTTGCACCGTGTCTGTTGATGCTGCGATTGATGGCTCGAAATCAGACCGCGTCGTGGTATATTTTCAGATTCAAGGTTGTTTCTAGGGGAAAAGACTAATTCAGGGAAAGGGGAAAGGCATCTACAATCTGGACAGATATCTGCGAAGTAATGGGATCCTCCAGTCCTGCGAGTGGAATGACTTAGGGACACGGTTGATGCACGGCTCAAACTTACTGGAGCCTGAGGAAAAAGGTAAGCTTTGTTTCTATATGCTTCCTTTTATGATTTTTAATTTTATTTTTCCTACAGCTTTAAATTGGTGGAGAAAATATTGAAACTATTATTGAAAATATTATTAATAACCATGTAATTATTATAAACTTAATTATTAACATTAAAATTCACAGCACCATTTAAAATATTGAAATTATTATTTAAAATACTATTAATTATTAAAATTTTAAATTATTTAATAGCTGCATAATTATTATACACTATCAATTATTAATATTAAAATTCACAGCACCTTTTAAATTTTATATGATTTATTTATACCCAAACCAGAATTCATTATAATTTTTTCTTTGCTCTAATAAAAGGAAACTAATCAGTTTTCAAAATATGCTTCTTTATCTGGTTTTCATTATTAAGAATTGCTATTTTGACATTTTTTGTGGTTTTAAAGAATTTTTAATTAACTTCAGCTTGCTGGAATTTCTTTTGCAGCATCCCACTGTGACTAGTATTTGCTATAAAGTTTTAAAGGCCACTTCTGATTTTGCTTAAGATTGCACTAAACCGAATTTTGAGTCACTTGGGAGGATCCAAACACAAAACTGATTTTATCTTACAAATTACTGATGGTTCATCTTGCTTGTGTGTGTGTGTTAGTCACCCAGTCATGTCCAACTCTTTGTGAGACCATGGGTTGTACCTCGCCAGGCTCCTCTACCCGTGGAATTCTCCAGGCGAGAATAATGGAACGGATTACTATTCCCTTCTGCAGAACTTAAATCATCGAAAATGTAAGAGCCAAGTCAGTGGCTGCTTTTTGCATATCAGATGTATTTACATGAAAATAAAGTTCCTTTGTTAAACACTCAAAATATGAATGCACTTAGTTTAGATTTTTATATTCATATCTAAATTTCAAAGTTGAAATCAGAACGTCTATATCTAACTTAAAAAATATGCTTATAGACCATAATAATTGATACTTTCATCCAGTTATTCCTGCATTTCCAATTTCTAATTCCTGTTTTTCCATTTATTTTCAAGTTCAACAAGTGCATTCATATCTACCCCAAGCATTTTACATTTATTAATATACTGTCAGGGCTTCCCAGGTGGCTCAGTGGTAAAGAATCCACCTGGCAATGGAGGAGCCACAGGAAACAGGGGTTCAGTCCCTGGGATGGGAAGATTCCCTGGAGGAGGAAATGGCAACACACTTCAGTATTCTTGGTGGGGTAATCCCATGGACAGAGGAGCCTGGTGGGTAAACCCATGGGGTCACAAAGAATTGAAGCAAGAGTTGAACACCACTAAGCATGCGTGCAACATACTTTCAGACTTACTGTGTTTCTTTTGTTGTAAGCAAAATGGTAGCCCTCCTATGAGCAAGCTGTTTTGGTTTTGTTTTGTTTGTTTATTTATTTGGCTGTGGTGGGTCTTAGTTACTGCATGCAAGGTCTTCCATCATCCTTGCAGTGGGATCTTTAGTTTCACCTGTGGAACCTAGTTCCCTGACGAGGGATGAAACCCGGGCCCCCTACACTGGGAGCTCAGAGTCTAAGCTACTGGACCACCAGGGAATTCCCTGAACAAGCTGTTTTATTTCTAGATGGGTTTATGGAGGGTTTTAGTAGAGCTTTATTAACTTTTACCATTTGGTTTAAAATAGCATCCTGCCAAATTAAACTGCATGAAAATCTATAATCTTTTTGTGTCAAAATGCTTTAGATTTCAGCACAACGTACATTATCACTTGATACTATATCTTTTAATATTTGGCAGACATCTTTAGTTTGTGTGTGAGGTGCCACGATTGCACATGACCTTGATACCCATCAGATGTCTATATATGTTTTTAATATGGATTTTAGAATAGGAAAACTGAAAAAATACATTTATCCTGTATACAGTACTAAAAAACTTATCATACTTCAAGTCACAAAAGCAATATGTTGATGATTGAACTAAAACTATGAGTTGAATAAGGCACAAATTTAGCATAATGATTCTTGGGGGAAATGAATTATTCATCATTGCATTCACTTCTCTGTCTTTCCACTCTGACAAGTCCACCACAAAGTAATATTATTTACAAAAATGAGAAATTGCCATTTTAGCCAAATAACGATTTAAAATAGTCAAATATTTAAAATAATCATGTTTCTGTCATTTCCTACATTCTTCAAAATAATTCTCAGAAAACATATTTCAAAAACATAAAAAAAATATGCACAGAGGTAGTAAGCTACACTTTCCTCAAAGTTCCACCTTATTTCTCTCCTCTACTTCACAAACAAGTTCCCTAAATCACTGTCTGTACACAGTACCCTTAACTCCCCTTCCTCTTCACTTACTCCCATCTGGTTTCTGTCCCATTAATTCTACTAAAAATCCTGCTATGGTCACTATGGGGTATGTTTCAGGCTCACTGGGACAGTTCAGTCCTCACCCACCCTGCAGGCCCTATTGTGTCTTTGAAACACACTCCTTCCCTTCAGTAGTCTCTCCCCTGTTCATCCTTGTATCCTTCTCACTGCACTGCCCCCTGCCTCAGTGCCTGTTGCACTCTCCTCTGCCTGGCCCTTAGTACTGAGGGTATGAAGGATTAGGTTTAGGTCCTCTTCTCATTGTCCATTCTATTTATAAGTGACCACATCCATCCCCAAGTCCCTATTACCAGACACACAACGCTGCTGCTGCCGCCGCCAAGTCACTTCAGTTGTGTCCTACTCTGTGCGACCCCATAGAAGGCAGCCCACCAGGCTCCTCTGTCCCTGGGATTCTCCAGCCAAGAATACTGGAGTGGGTTGCCATTTTCCTCTCCAAGACACACAATAAAGAATTTCAAATCAGTAATTATACCCGTGACATTTGTTTATTGTAGACCCACTTGGCCAACAACCAATCAGGCTTCTACAATTACACACTTCCCAGGTACCATAGAAAAGGGATCCCTCTTTTTCCCCCTGAAAATTACCTGTAAAAATTACCTGTAAGTATCTTCTGATATGAGAACCCAGTTTTCCATTACTTCTTTTTGTATTTTTTAATATAATCGAAATTTTAAAAAAACACTTTATTTTTATGTATCATTCTCTATGAGACTGAAAGTTTCAACATAGAAGGTACCGAATTAGATTTATTTACCAGTGTTTCTTGAAGGCAATTCCACAATCTGCCACTTTGATACTCAACTAATACATGTGACATGAACTGAATGAATGAATGAGTAGATAAGTGTTACCATCAATTACTCACTTTTGTTTAGAAAACTGAAGATTGAATTTAGGTGTTAAGAATAAGCAGACTCAGTGTCTACACAGAGACCACGGCACAAACATGTTTCCAGTGAGGCAGCGTCACCTGTGGAGAGTTCTTTGATCAAAACACAGGATTTTCTACTTAAATACTCATTGCTGGATTAGTTCATTTTTGTTTGTATTCAATCATCATTCACTAAAAATATGTTTGGAAATGCCATCCATTAAAAGAGAGAGGAATAAATTTTATCTCACACAAAAAAGAAAACTAAGAGTTTGATAAGAATTTAATAAATAAAAAATCAAATTTAATGAAATGGAATGCTGAACATATTTTGTAAATCTTAATACAATGTGAAGGCAAACATCCTTATATGAAAATATAAATATGACAAGAAGAAGTATAAATAAATAATAAATAAATCAGGGAAATAATCGCTTAAGAACTGATGACCCTAGAGCTAAGTTTTTAACATCCTTGATTAATACTACAAAATATATGTTCAAGTAATTCAGTAAATTTTGTGGCTAAAGCAGAATTCAGAGTCTTCTAAAATGACTACAGGTGAATGTGCAAGGCTGATGTGGCATCTTAGTCAGTGAGAGTCATGTCAAGGTGAGTTCAGGTCTCCATCCATCACTCTTAACCTTTCTTGCAAGCTGGTTGATGAAGAGAAGGATCTCATTATCTCCACTCTGACAATTTCCCAGGCACAGTTGCTGTATTCCTTCTCTTGCAGGTAGACATGGATTCCCTGGAAGTACCTCTTCATGGCCAGCGTGGGGCCCATCCTTCCCAGGGCAGAGTCTTCCTCTCCCATCACCTGCCCCAGGCAGGCATCCAGGGCGTCCAGCTGCTGATGGAGTCCAGTGCGGAGCTGCTCCAGGAGGGTGGTGTCCCAGGCAGCAGAGGAGCGCTCTGTGTGGAAGAGGTTGAAGCTCTGCTGGAGCATCTCGTGGAGCACAGAGATGGCCTGGGCCTCCTGCAGCTGGCCGCCCTCCACCATCTCCTGGGGGAAAGCGAAGTCCATTCTGTCCTGCAGACAGAAGCGAGGGGAGAGCCTCCTCATTTGGCCCAGGAGCCTGAGGGTCTTCCTGCCAACCAGCACGTGGTTCTGAGACAGGTCACAGCCCAGGGATCCTCCCGGGCCATAGCTGACCAGCACCAGGGCCATCAGTAGAGAGAGCACGAAGGCCATGGGGAAGATGAGGCTGCTGCAGGGCTGGCGGAGACGGCGTCTGGTGGAACCTTGAGGTAGGTTCTCTGATGCCATGCTTTCTAAGCAAGGCCATTAAATAGGGAACAGGGTAGTTTTCATTTTCTAATTGTTTCTGTACACTTGTACTTCCTTTTTTGATTTTCATTTATATATTCACA